CTGTCTGACTGTCTTACCAACTTGAAACCTTTCCATTTAGTTTCCATTAAATCATCCTGCATGTTAAAATAATAAAGGGCATATTTTGATTACCTCTTCAGGTCATCTGGTCCCGTGCACATTCCTGTAATGTGTCCAAGGATTTGGGAAAGATCTTCATGTCACTTCCTTCAGGCTGCATCCTGCAGAGGATCACGTTCTTGACTGTCGAGGCGGAGTTTAGGCACAGGGTCAAAGTTTTTCACAGAATTCGGATTGTTGCTCCCAAAAACTGCGGACAAATGCAGCGTTAGACGTTAGCAACATTGTTTCAGCAACACAACAGGTAGATATCCATTTTGCGTCATTAACCTTGTGTTCCTTTTAAATTGAGCGCGCATTAAATAGATTCACTGAATAATCGGAAAAATGTCAATGTCACGGTCGAGTTCATGTGGAATTAGAATGAAAATGACCAGATGCATTAACAGTTTGCCTTAAAGTCAGTCAATTGTCTTATATTTAGTCGTCGATATCCGGGAAAGTGTGTGTGTAAAATATAGCTGACTTGAATGTTCAAATGTTGCAGGAAATCACGAGTTAAGCTCAAGTCACGGATGAAGAGTCAGGGTTTTATGATGCACGTAGACACTGAAAAAACGCTTTATACTGGAGTATTGTGTAGTGATGCTGCACTTATGTTTTATTAATTGTTTTGCGTTGTTTCTTAAAGGAAGATCTCCGTTGAGGACTTTTTTGTAGATGGTGGCACGCAAAACTTGTTCTACAAGGTCAAGATTGAAATATTACGCCGTGTTAAAGTGGCGATAGTGTTGTATTGAACTGTATTTTCATACAACACACTTTTAGATTGGATTAACTAACAATTATATATAATTATACATTATAATTTTTTGATTGATTATTTGATATTTCTGAATATTACCGTTTACATTTTTCGGATTTGTATAATACTGTTTAATACTGCGTTTTGCTGTTTAAATGCTGAACATGAAGGTGTAATTGAGCTGGTTCCATATGTCTATGCCCTGCTATTGGTCCGTGAATTGTATGTTTCTTGTGTTATCGTTAAATAATAAGATCGCTATATATTTTTTGGAACAAGGCTGCAGGGCATGTGTCTGTACATAAATTAATTGTAATAAAACGCCCTGAGAAATATTCACTTGAGTAAAAGTGTGACAGCTAGCAGTCACCTACGTTTTGGTTCAAGCCGTCTTCATTATGAAATCTCGCCATAATTTAACACAGTCACAAATTCGAATACTGAATGTATGATTCAAGTACAAATTAAAAATCTTTAATTTTCTGTTAGTGTTCAACTCATGTGAACCCCGAGAAAAATGTCCCGTTTTCTGAAGCATTTCACAGCGGTGGGTGATGAGCAAAACACCGCCGCACAGTGGCAGGACACGGAACTGCACGATGCCAGTGAAGACCTGGCGCGCGCCACGGGACAGCACCTGGGACAGGTCAGCTTCAGGGACTCCCTACGCCGCCTCTACTGTACAGAGAGGTTCCAGGTAAATGTTTAAACTCTTTAGATGTATATAGATATGAAATGTTGTTTACATGATTGAAAATAACCTTGGACTGTTATTTTGTTGATTAGATTTGTGTTGTTTGCTTGGTCGTCTTGGATGCCATTTTCGTTCTGTGTGAGTTGCTTATTGACTTGTCTATCATTCAAGCAGATCATCACAGAATCGCTCCGCAGGTGAGTCCGCTTCAGATGCCTAGTCGGCAAAAAACATGGATGTCATGTATCTGTTGACACATTATATCTCAGCGATTATTCTGAGGTTATCCTCTATCCAAATGTTCCTGTCATTATTCCAGGTATTCCATTATCTCAGCCTCGCCCTTCTCACATTCTTCATGGTGGAGCTGTTCACCTGGGACAGGTCAGCTTCAGGGACTCCCTACGCCGCCTCTACTGTACAGAGAGGTTCCAGGTAAATGTTTAAACTCTTTAGATGTATATAGATATGAAATGTTGTTTACATGATTGAAAATAACCTTGGACTGTTATTTTGTTGATTAGATTTGTGTTGTTTGCTTGGTCGTCTTGGATGCCATTTTCGTTCTGTGTGAGTTGCTTATTGACTTGTCTATCATTCAAGCAGATCATCACAGAATCGCTCCGCAGGTGAGTCCGCTTCAGATGCCTAGTCGGCAAAAAACATGGATGTCATGTATCTGTTGACACATTATATCTCAGCGATTATTCTGAGGTTATCCTCTATCCGAATGTTCCTGTCATTATTCCAGGTATTCCATTATCTCAGCCTCGCCCTTCTCACATTCTTCATGGTGGAGCTGTTTGGAAAAATCTATGCGTATCGTCTAGAATTCCTCCACCATAAGTTTGAGGTGTTTGATGGGATTGTGGTGGTGGTATCCTTCATCCTGGACATTGTATATATCTCAAAGGAAGATGCATTTGATGCCATGGGGCTTCTGATCTTGCTCAGGTTGTGGAGAGTGGCCAGGATCATAAATGGTATGGGGATTATTTTGACCCAGCAATACCCAGCAACTAAATATTAGAAAAATGTTCCGGTATGTTTATCTTACCAAACTGCTGGTGTTAGAAATGATTGTTTCCATGACACTCACAATCTAACCTTGGGGGTTCACCAAGGTTCTGTACTTGGTCCATTTTACTTAAGTAATTACATGTTTATGTACATTATCGCTAAATATCTCTATGGAAAATGAATGCAAGTTTTACTTCTGGAACCCAGCTGTTGCATTATTCTCTAATGTCTAATCGTTTTATTTTCCTTTCTTACTTTGCTCTCTTATAGGTATCATTATGTCTGTGAAAAATCGTGCCCATCACAAAGTTCAGAAAATAAAAGAGATCAATGAAAACCTTGTACATCAAGTCAATGAACTTCAAGAGAGACACACAAAAATGGTGAGTAGCTCTGCTTAAAAAAATTAGTCATGATTAATTTAATTATTAAATTGATAGTGGTTTTAATTTAATCTTTCAACAGGACCAAGAAAACGCCAGGCTTCATGTGCTCTTAAAACAGCACGGCATTGAGTTTTGATGCTCCAGGGTTATTCATTAAACACATCACATGAGACTGAGCTTAAGACTAATCATGTCTATTCATTCCATATGAAATGTGAAGAAGGTCATATTACAGTGTGTTGTGTTTATTGTCACTCAAAGCCAAGCTGATCTTGATCTTTGTCCCCTGGCAGATCTTTAACAGCACACATAAAGGGAGATGGTTTTTAAAGCCAGTGACTCGCGTAGGTCAAATTATAAAAAAGGGAAATCTATAAAGTAAACAAGTTTTTTTTCTAAATCACTATTTTCCAAAATCATTATCAGTATTGTTGTTTTATCTATGAACTGTACATTTAATGTTTTCTCATTATAAATGTGAATGTGTTTGAGCAACTGAAAGCTATGCAATAAATACTATTTTGTAAATGAGATATGAAATATAAATAGACCAACATATCTGCCTGGCTGATGAATTGGCTTATTAACAGTAGTGGCTTTCGCTCATGTAACAGTTCCAAAATTAACAACAGATTTTACAATGAATAGTTCACATTTTATGTTCTTAAATGTTTTAGTGAGTTTTGAGTAAATATTATTAAAAACAGTGTTCATTTCACATTTTGTGCATGTCTTGACTTGAAATTGAATTACGCTGTATACACACAGAGAACAATTAATTCCATTGGACAACCTACAGGAAGGGAGAACATTAATGCACATAAAATAGTAATGGTGATAAATATTACACACAAATCTTTATAACAACAGCCTCTTACTTCAGAGTGCAGCCTGATACCATGTCAATCCCAAACAGAACAGGGGAGCGCCGTGATGAGCCAAGCAAGCAATCCTGATCTCCAGAGTTTTGGAGGATAGTAAGGGACCCTTTTGGGTCAGCGGATTGAACTATCCCAGTAAAACAGAGGTCAAGGACTTTGCAACAAAGGTGGATATTTGGATACATGATAGGCTTTCCATTTATTTATTAAATTATATCATGATAATGAAAACACCAGCACACTTATGAAATACTCTTATATTTTTTATATAGGGGTAAAACAAAACATTACCTTGGAAAATAAAACAAAATTAAAGCTAAAATATTATCAAATTAAGCATATGCCTGAGAAAAAAAAATGTTTTAAGAGAATATTTAAATGTGGATAGAGTAGGGGATGTCCAGTGCTAATGAAAAATTAATGATGCAATTGGTTATGTTTCATGACAAAGGAGACATCTGAGCAAAGAGTTTATAATAAAGGATATTCTGCTGTTCTTGTCCCAGCCACTAGGGGCCGTCCCACCACATAGCCAGGATTGCCATTAAATAACAACACTGGTGTGCTAGATATCTCCTGTTAAAACTATTACTTCCTTTTTGTAAAATAAATTTCAAGAAAATATGTAAAGGGTATAATTAAATACCTGCAGGAATGTAATCTGAAACTCTTGCTGAATGGGCACCGTGATGCTTTTAATGGCTCCCTGCAAAACTGATGCTATCACATTCAGGATTTCCCCAGCTTCACTGTATCTGAACATGTACTTCACCTGACAGAAAAGTTATGGTTTTGTTAAACAGTTTATGATTCCTGATACTTTTCAGATTTCTGATTAGTAACATATACATTATGTGCACACCTGCTGTACAACGTTGTTGCAGACGTCACCAGACTCCAGAAGCACAGGAATATAGGACACAAGGTTAGCTGGGTCCACCAGTGTCTGTGTGCCCTCTAAATACAGCAATCAGGCAGCGAATCATCTGTCGCCCATAGGAAAGCAAAAAAAAAAAAAAAAAAAGTCGTGTTCTTAGCTATTTCTCTAAAAAGAGCAGTTTACTCCTCTTCAGCGGACACGATGAGCTACAGGAGATGCATCGAGCCATGTGACAGGTTCATCGCAGGAGGAGACACTTGACAGGTCCGTGCAATGTTTGGGCCTACAGCACACCCAAGCAGCGCTTAGCGGCCTTTCTGATTGTCGACACTGTGATATTCTACGGCTAAAAGCACTGCGATATTTGATATGCGACTGTTTATTTGATATTCTCAAATAAAGTAGGCCTCGCGTCTAACCCCCGCTATCCCGTTTCTGCGGTTGCCGAGGCGCCGCACGAGACGGTCGCTTGGGGTGACGCATACAAGCCGAGGCGTTTAGAGGGTGAGTCAATGGAATTTTCTCCTTTTCTCTTGCTCTCTCCGGGCCATGTGCAAGCGCTCGAAGAGCGCTACGGGGATCCCGTGGTCTTCGTTAATGACAATTTGCGGCCTACCCCGGAAGCTCACGATGCAATGTCTTTCGGTTGTATGCCGTATGATGAAGATGTGCTGTCCACAGCAGCCTCCGATTCGGAGGATTTATTGGGCGAACTGTGCAGTTCTCTCCCTTCGAGTGGTCCCCCTTCGAGGAGTTCTCTCCCTTTGAGGAGAAACGCACTTCCCCGTCTTACAGCAAACTATTAGACGTTGTAACGCGCGATGTGGATAAGCTGGGGTTAGAGTGGGATAGCGAGCCGGCGCAAACTCAGTCCCAGTCGAAACTGGACGATCGATTTTTGTCCAGCTGCACTCCATCTCAGCTCCGTAGGCCTCTCCCCTTTTTCCAAGACTTCCACTATGAGGTTTCGAGGTCTTGGAAACAACCTTTTTTGGCGCGTATCACTAATCCCGCTGCCGCTGATTTCGCCATGGTTTCTAAAATGGCGGCTCACGGCTACGCGGCGATGCCGGCCGTAGAAGAGACTCTCGCGGCACATCTCGCGCCAAATTCCGCTCCGTCTTGGAAATCACGCACTCTGCTACCATCCAAACCGTGTAGGGTTACTTCCCCTTTGATTGGAAAATCTTACATGGCCACTGGGCAGGCCGCGGCTACACTCCATTCTATGTGTGTACTCCAGGCTTATCAGGCAGACGTGCTCAAGAAGCTGGACGAGGGAGAAGGCTTGAATCCAGAGGCTGTTAAAGAGCTCAGATGAGCTACTGACTTGGCGCTTAGGGCTACCAAGCACACAGCTCGGGCAGTGGGCAGGTCCATGGCAGGGTTAGTGTCAGCTGAGCGCCATCTTTGGCTTACTCTCACTGACATTAAAGAGAAGGACAGAACGTTTCTCCTGGATGCCCCCATTTCGAGTGACGGTCTGTTCGGAGACTCAGTCACTACAGTCGTGGAGAAATTTAAAGCAGCGAAACAGCAGTCAGCTGCGTTCCGTCAACTCATCCCTCGCAGGGCTAGGGAAGTGGAACGTCAGCCACCTGCGGCTCGCTCACGCTCTTCGTCCTTACAGCACCGCGAGGTCCAGCGGCATGAGCCACCGGCTAGGTTACCCCCTCGTAAAAACTGGGGTCCTAGGTCTTGCCCACCGGCTTACACACGGCAACGCAAGCGAGTAGACCTGAGTTTGACGGCAAAGCCCTCTCGTCCTCAGGCCCCTAATAGCAGTTCCTGATTCTTCTGCTCGTCTTCGGAGGCCAGGCCCTCCTTTAGAGAGAGTGTACGAACCGCACAAGCGTATTCGACTCACTCGCTGTGGCCTCCAGACTCCGATTTTGAAGGTCCTGCTGCATATTGCGCCTCGGGCAGTTTTAGATCGAGTCCTTACGATGAGCACCTCCTCGGATACTCTGCGCGTTCCAGCCTTCAGAGTTCGTGAAAAAGCCCAAGGGTCATGCGAGCATGGCCCGTTTATGACGGCCTCCAAAGCTCCCACTGTTGGGGCAATGGGCAGGCCCCACAGAATCGGACATCTTCCCATTATAGTTTTTCGCGCCACTCAGGTGCTTCGGGATCCTATACGAGAAAATCAGATGTACGTTTCAACTGTAGAACACCCAAGACCCCTGGTAGACTACTGGGCCACGTGGAGACGCCTGCCCGATATTTCATGGTGGGTACTATGCACCATTCGACACGGGTACACTATCCAGTTTCGGAAAGGGCCACCTCCCTTCAGTGGGGTTCTCCCTACGACGGTACGCCCTGGGGATGCCTCGATTTTAGGTCAGGAGATCGTATCACTCCTAGAGATAGGGGCTATAGAGGAGATACTCCCCACTCAGATGGAGTCAGGTTTCTACAGCCGGTATTTTGTTGTACCCAAGAAAGATGGTGGTTTACGTCCGATTTTGGACTTACGTCGTCTAAACCTCGTGCTCAGAGTGAGCAAGTTCAAGATGTTAACAGTAAAGTCCATTCTGTCTCAGGTCCAATCCGGAGATTGGTTCGTGACCATCGATCTAAAGGGTGCATACTTTCACATCCAGATCGTCAGGAGGCACAGGAAGTTCCTCAGGTTTGCTTTCGAGGGCAAAGTATACCAATACTGTGTTCTTCCGTTCGGACTAGCTTTGGCTCCTCGAACGTTTACAAAATGCATGGACGCAGCTCTGGCCCTGTTGCGGCTCCAGGGCATCCGAATTTTGAACTACCTAGACGATTGGCAAATACTAGCTCAATCTCAGAATCAGGCACGGATACATCGAGATCTGGTACTCGATCATTTGAGGAGCCTAGGGCTACGGACAAACCTTCAAAAAGAGTGTCCTGCTGCCGTGTCGGCAGACGACCTTTTTGGGGGTGGACTTGGACTCTTGCACGATATGGGCACGGCTTTCTCCTGCTCGTGTGCAATCAATACGGACCTGTCTAAGTCAGTTCAAGACAGGGCGCCGAGTACATGTAGGCCTGTGTCTCAGGCTGTTGGGACTGATGGCGGCAGCGTCCCCTGTAGTTCAGTTGGGCCTGCTTCACATGCGGCCATTTCAGTGGTGGATCAAGAGCCAGAATATTTCGCATCACTGTCACCCACTTCGCAGAATTACAGTGACACGCAAAGGCTCTCGTACTCTAAGCCCCTGGATGAGACCCCAGTTCTTTCTGGAAGGAGTCCAGATGGGGACATTGTGTTGCCGCAAAACGGTCACGACGGATGCGTCCCTTACGGGCTGGGGAGCGGTCCATCAGGGACATCCAGTCGGTGGAGTCTGGACAGAGGTACATCGAGACTGGCACATAAACCGTTTGGAGATGCTTGCGGTTCTCCTGGCTCTCAAACAGTTCTTACCCCAACTGAGGGGTTATCATGTGTTGGTAAGGACAGACAACACGGCAGTTGTGTCGTACCTCAATCGTCAAGGGGGATTACGTTCTCGCCCCCTGTGCAGGCTGGCGAGGCGTATTCTTCTCTGGGCTCAGACAAAGTTCCTGTCGATCAGAGCAGTCCATATCCCAGGTCGCCTGAACTCAGGAGCGGATCTGCTCTCGAGACAGAGTCTACAGAATGGGGAATGGAGATTGCACCCCCAGGTGGTGGATCTTATATGGCAGAGGTTCGGCCGAGTGAAAGTGGACTTGTTCGCTTCGAGCATGACTAC